TCTCTCTCTCTCTCTCTCTCTCTCTCTCTCTCTCTCCCTCTCCCTCTCTTTCTCTCTCTCTCTATCTCTCTCTCCCTCTCTTCCCCTCTGTAAGATCTGTCTATGGTATGATCGAGCAGATGGAGATGCGAGCACATGCGCGCGGTGACGATGATGCGGGGGATGCTGCCTCTCTTTCTAGATCTCCCTTTCTCTCTCTCTTTCTCTCTCTCTTTATTTATCTCATTCTCTCTCTTTCTCGTTTAGGTCTATCTCTGTCGCTTTCCATCTCCTTTTTGCTCTCTCTCTCTCTCTCGCTCTATCATTCTGTATGGTCTGTGTGTCTCTGTCGCTGTATCGTCTCTCTCTGTCTTTGTCTCTGTCTGTTTATCCCTCAATTTCTCACTTCCTTCTTCTTCCCTCTGTCTTTCCCACCCTTCTTCCATCCCTCCCTTCCCCTATCTCAATCTTGTACATGTGTGTGGTACGATCGTGCACGTGTATAATTAATATAAATATTAATATAATATTTAATATACAATATATTATATAAATAATATACATTTATTATAATTATATAATTAAATATTAATTAATATATTGTGCATGGTTGGTTGTCTCACCTCCTCCGTCGCCGCGGCTTGCAGAGCGAGGAACTGGTGTGTCAGAAGAAGCTGCGCACGGAGGTGATTCAGCTCGAGGACGCGCTCACGCAGGTGCGCAAGGAGTACGAGATGCTGCGCATCGAGTTTGAGCAGAACCTCGTCGCTAACGAGCAGACAGGTGAGTGAAGCCCCAAAGTCCCATTGTACAGACAGGTAAGTGAAGCCCTGCTGTGCAGACAGGTAAGTGAAGCCCTGCTGTAAGGTAAGTGAAGCCCTGCTGTGCAGACAGGTAAGTGAAGCCCTGCTGTACAGACAGGTAAGTGAAGCCCTGCTGTGCAGACAGGTGAGTGAAGCCCTGCTGTGCAGACAGGTGAGTGAAGTGTAAAAAATAATAATAACAAATAATGTGATTCGCCAGGCGTGAGCGGGGTGAGCTAGTGGGTGGAGATCGTGCGCGGCATGGAGGTGTTACAGGGCTTCGTTTCATGTGCAGGACCAATCAACAAGGAGATGAGACACCTGATCACGAGTTTGCAGACGAACAACCAGCAGCTGAAGGGTGAGGTCGCTCGCTACAAGAAGAAGTGGAGGGAGGCGCAGTCAGAGCTGAACAAGGTACGAGCACAGCAGCTGTAGCAACAGCAGTAGCAGCAGCAGCAGTAGCAGCAGCAGTAGCAGCAGCAGCAGCAGTAGCAGCAGCAGTAGCAGTAGCAGCAGCAGCAGCAGTAGTAGCAGTAGCAGTAGCAGCAGCAGCAGTAGCAGCAGCAGCAGCAGTAGCAGCAGCAGTAGCAGTAGCAGCAGCAGCTGTAGCAACAGCAGTAGCAGCTGTAGCAACAGCAGCAGCAGCAGTAGCAGCAGCAGCAGTAGATCACAGCCTCCCATTCCCCATATTTGTTTCAGATAAAGGCGTTGGAGCAGCAAGCGAAGCAGCAGAAGGAGTTGGAAGAGAGCGAGGCGAAAACACCGACGGAGGTCAGCGCTGCAGAGAAGGGTGAGAAACCGTCGACCAGCCAGACGGGCGAGGCTCCCAACCAGCAGACGCCCACCAAGGACGGCGGCAAGGAGAAAGACTCGTACGTGCTGCCACCTGTTGATCGCTCGCGGAGATTTTTTCCCCAACACTCGCGCGATTTTGTGTGTGCAGCATATTGCAGAGGTGTAACTCACAGACGTAATTGAAAAAGTGTAGTAGTTTTTTTGTTGTTTTTTTTCTAGAATTTTTCTAGAATTATTTTACTAGAATAGATTCTAATTGGTCGTATTGATATTGGAAGTACTGGTAGTGCAGCGCGTGTTGGAGGTAACTGCAGTGAAACAGACGTTCGCTTGTTCACGGCGTACGACACTGTTTCTTCCTCGCGTGTTGCAGAGAGAAGGAGAAGGAGGACGCTCCCGTCGTTCAGGTGAAGAAGGAGAGAGTGACGGAATACGATCGCGAGAGGGAGCGACACGATCGGCACGACAAACAGATAAAGCAGGAGAAGCAGACGAAGCAGGAGCGCCATGAGAAGATCCGTGTGAAGGTAGCGCCATCTGTCACCATTAATAATAAATAAATCATGAATAGTAATAAATATTGTAATAATTGTGCTAAGCCAGTGTAAGCGGATGCCTGGATTGTCTCTACGTGACACGGTAATACTCAGTGTGTGTTCTGGTTGGTGTTTTCTGGTTGATGCTAGTAACATAATAGGTATTTCTTATCAGGCACGTGCTCAAGTGCGTAATTTGTCTCCTCTTGTTTCCGTCGAAAAAAGGAGGAGCCCTGTGTACGGAAGGAGAAGGAGAGGCACGATCGGAGACGGGAGCAGCACGACGCGCACGAGAGGGACGATAGGGATAACGGGAAGCCGGAGAGCGAAGTCATCAAAATGCTCAAAGTGGACCTCAAGTATGCCGTGCATGGTTAAAGCAGTGATATTGCATGTATTACCAACCGTTCTCGTATTTTCTCGATCATTCTGGTACCTGCCGGCACTCCTTGCGTAACACCAGGTGTAGACAGCAAGGCTAACGTGTCTTAACAACACTCGCACATGATTTTCACCGACCTGCGATGTTCAGAGTAGATTCGTCTGCATGCGTCAGCATCAGTAGCACGTGATCCTTTGGTGCATCGCACGCACGTGAGACTTTGCGGTACTTTGCTACTAAGCAGAATGTTTAGAATTCCCCTAGTGCAGCAGTGATTGGCTAGAGCTGTCTATTAGTCATTGCGGGGCGGACGGGTGATTTTTAGCTCACCTTGACATCGTCAAGTTGAGCTATTGCCATGGGTCGTCGTCCGTCCGTCCGTCCGTCCGTCAACATTTGGTTTCGGTCAACGATAACTCAGGAACCGTTTGACCCACATGTTTGAAATTGGGTGTAGTTGTTACTGCTATGCTCCCATATGGAACGTCCTATTTTTAAGCACGCCAGTCGACGTACTTTCGAGCCACGGCAATTTTTTGGCAAAAATGGGAATTGCCATTATTCAGTTCAGGTTCAACGGATTTTGCTCATTTTTGGTATGTGAATGAATAAGGGCTAGGGGTTTTGATATTTAAAAAAAAATTATGCAAATTAGGTGGGGTTTGGCAATTATATAGCATATTATATAAACACAAACAGTCTGTGGTGTCACACTCGTCTGGTTCGTTTTACAAGATTTCATTGACAATATCTTTAATGCAAAATTGGTATTTCCTCTCCACTCTGCCGATAAAACGTCTATATTAGAGTAAAGATTTACAAAACATGTCGGAACGCAGCATAACCTATTTATTTCAAGCGCCATCACTACAAAGCGAGTATAGCGCCATCTACGGTCACAAATTGTGATTCATTTTGGTTTATAAATTATTATTGCGATATACAGAGGGCAATCGTTTCTATAATGTACGTCGATGGTTTGTCAATTAAAACTGACTTCTTCTTACTCACTCATTTGTGTCCTTCTTTGTGGTGAGCTACAGTGTCATTGACACTTTCATTCACATCAGGGTGAAGGATTGATTTGCTAATTGATCGTGATTTCCTGACTGCAGGAAAGCCTGGGAGCAGAACAAGGAGATGAAACTACTGCTGGACATGTACAAAGGCTCGGCGAAGGAACAACGCGACAAAGTGCAGGTGAGAGAAAGATTCTGCCCGATATACTGTATGTCGTGACAAATCCACCTTCAGTCCCTCAACTCCATTCCACCTGATGACGAGAATCCAAATCGCACGCCACGAGCCTTATTCATTGCATTGGGGCCTTATTTTAAATAATAATAAGAGTAGCCGAAAATAAAACGTGTCTATTTCACATATTTTGTGACAAAAAACAATGGGGTGAGATTTTAGCCTACCAAATTGAATTTCAACCTGGTTTTAAATAGTTTTTGTGTAGGTAATACATTTTAATTAGGTACGAAGATTTTCTAGGAATGACTACTATAATGTGTCTAGACAGTAAAGGTACTGTAAGATTTTGAGCAGGTTAAATAGCTTTCGATAGCTTTTAAGTTAGTTAAGTTAAGTTGACCCGGCAAACGAAACGATCCTCGTTCCCGGCAGCTGATGGCGGCTGAGAAGAAGGCGAAGGCAGACATCGACGAGCTGAGGAACCAGGTTCGTCGCTACCAGGAGAGCGAACGCAAGGAGCGGAAGCGGCTTGCAGACGACGACGCGATGCGTAAGATCCGCACGATGGAGGAACAGATACAGTCGCTGCAGGGCAAGCTAACCGGCTGCAAGCAGGTAAGAGGGGACACTGTGGGAGCGGGAGCGGGAAACGTGCGCTGGCATGTATCAGTCGCTGGAGAAGTGTCTGTGTGTGCGTGCGTGCATGCATGCATGCATGCATGCGTGTGTGCGCGTGTATGTGTGTGCGTGCGTGAGCGTGCGTGCGTAAGCATGCATGCGTGCGTGCGTGTGTGTGTACGCGTGTATGTGAGTGCGTGCGTTTGAGCGCGTGCGTGAGCGTGCGTGCGTAATACCCCCGTCACACCGGGGTGGCGTCCTTACTGCGCTGCTATGGCGACGGAAAATGGGCCCAGAGCGCGCCAAGGTCGCCATAAGCGTGGTATAAGCGTGGTGGAAACGCCAGACATCGTGGTGTGGTCGCCATGGTCGCCAATGATCGCCGAGTCACGGCGTTTGTTTTGAGCATGTTCAAAACAAATGCCAAGGTTCGGCGATCTGACCTGGAACGCGGTGAGAACGCGGTGGGGTCGCGAAGGTCGTGAGACAAGCGTCGTAACATCTCCATAAACGTAGTACACGCGCAGTACACGCGTGGCAAAGACGCTGCAAAAATGGTAACATTTTCAACAGCGAATTCATGGATCTGTCTCATCCGATCTGCCGATCTGTTTCATGCCGATCTGTCTCGGCCAGGGCCACGGTCTCGGCCTCTGGTAGCTTGTTTCTTCGGCATCGTGTTTCTACTCAGCAAACGCACAACTATACAGTTAAAATTTCCGAAAATCTGACCAGCTTATATAGTCGCCGTGAGAACGGGGTAGAAACGCCGTGCAGTCGCGATACACGTAGAAGACGCGTGGTAAGAACCCCATTAGCGTGATGAGAGCGCCGCGGGAACGCCGGTGATCGCCGTTGCCAAGCCCATAGATCTCAATAGAAACGCCATAAGACTGGTCGTGCCGGTCCAGTGGGTTGGACGGGGGTATAAGCGTGCAGCATGCGTGGTGCAGTGTTTTGTAGTGTGGTCTATGATGGTGCGCTGTGCGTCCAGTTCGTGTGTGTGTGTGTGGATGGCTGTGCACATGCCAACGAGGGGTCTGATCGATGGGTTTTGCGAGTTGCCGGTTGACGGCAGGAGCGAGGGTGCACTGCTGGGCGACATGATTGACGGCGGGCAGGCGTTGAGGGACATGCACTAGAGAGCAGAACACACGGCCTCGCTGCAGCGGCTGAGGAGAGAAGGCGGACGCGGCTTCAAGCGTTCATGTCAGTAACTCTGCGCACACATCAATTACGCACGCCACTCACAATCGATTGCTCGCACCACCCACGCACGCGCACGCACACTCACACTCATGCTCGCACACACCCACGCACGCACGCACACTCACACTCATGCTCGCACACACCCACGCACGCACGCACACTCACACTCATGCTCGCACATCAGCCCACGGCACGCACGCACACACATTTCATGTCGCACAACGACCGCACGCACGCACCTCACACTCTGCTCGCACACACACGCACGCACGCGAATACATCATTGCTCGCACCCCCGGCACGCCGCACCTCACACTCTGCTCGCACGACAGGCCACGCCCGCACACCACTTTCACCACTCGATGCTCGCACAACCACGCGACGCACGCACACTCAACTCGATGCATCGGCTGACACACCCACGCAGCGGCCGAACACGTGCACACTCGGATCGCGCGACACCCCACGCGACGCTCACGCACACTCCAACACTCGTGCATGCTCGCACACACCCCACGCATACGCACGCTACGACTCACAATCATGCGTCGCACACACCACGCACGCGTACGCACAACTCACAATCATGCTGCACACACCACGCGACGCATC